AACAAAAAAATCATGGTGTGAGAAAACCAACTAACTAGCTGGAAAAAAAAGGCAGCATGAACATTTGGCGAAAGAGAGATGTTTTCAGCCCTCCACAATGAATTGCTCTCTCTTTCGCCCACGTGCAGCCGTGGGATGACTTGCTTGTTCATCCTGTTAGTGTAACTTGGTAGTTTGATAACTTCCTACAGAAAATCCTAGATATTACAGTTGGAGTGTGTACATTTATGTCACACTATAAACCAAAGACAGTGCGATGACGTTCATCTTTACAATTTCTAATCTCAAATATATTTGCAACTTGTTCAAAGAAAAATGCTTTATGTGCACAAGTGACACAATGACAGAAAAATTGAACTCGTTTTGAGAAATTCAATTCTGATCTGAGAAACGTACCAAAGCAACTGAGAAAAAAAAAAAAGTAACGAAAACCTCGCTTCAGGTCCTTGTGGTCGACCTGCGAAAAAGGCTCCTTAAGATTAGGAAGTTGCTTCTCAAAATTAAGTCAATTGATTAGCACAGCTGCTCCTCAAAGAAGAAAAGTAATTTGAGATTTGTGATCAAGAGGAACATGGGGTAACCCCATGACACGCAACATTGATAATGATCAGTTTTCTTGTTTTCGCCAATTGTTCAGGAACGCGTACTGTATATCAAAGCTCTGTAATTGAAAACATTCTTTTTGAACGCTAACGGAATTACCAGGGGCTGTAGTTAACCCTGCTCCCTCCGTGCAGGGCTCAGGAGGTGGGGAGTGCGGCAGCCACGGATAGTTCCCTGATCAGCAGTCGTGGAATGAGCGCCGCTGGTGTGTGAGTCTCTCTGCGATGAACTGAAGCATATTGCTGCGACATGCATTTGATATGTTGCACCATTCAAACGAGTTGTCGCAGCTACTGCGGCTGCTGTCTTCATGAACGCATGAGCCGCTAATTACACTTTGGGTATGTCAGAAGGCTTGCGACGTCACTGGCTTGGCGCAAGTCGTAGCTAGTCATTTGGCACCCGGGGGTAACTGAAACCGACACATTTTAGTAACATTTTGACTAAAAGTGAGTGAAGTAATTTAGATCTCTTTGTCCTCTTTTGAAATCAGTTACAATTATTTGACAGCTTTAGTTAGCCTACTAATAATTACCACAAAAGGTTGATAATATTGGTTCTTGCTAACCAAAAAGTGCTAATTTGAGAAAATTCTCCTCTTTCCTGAGCTAGACATAGTCCTTAAAATCCTTCTTGAGGATTATTATCTAACAAGTGGATCATCTAAACACACTCAGAACAATCAATGTTTAATAAATGTATCAAATTCAGGAAAGTAAACATCCTGCCACAATTTGGCTTTAGCCACAGATGTTTTTACTCAACAGGGAGACAAATTAGCTTGTTTACCTGCCAGTTGAGTAAACGTACCTGTGGCAAAAGCCAAACTGCGGCAGGGCTCTACTTTCTGGATCTGGATTTCATCCCTCTGATATTGAAGATAGCTTTCCATTTCAGCTGTTTACTTTCAAAGTGTCTTCATTGTAGTTTGAACCCTTCCAAAACTTGTATTACCGCTAAGTGTATTTGTGTAATTCTGAGGTCACTCGAAATTACAAAAAAAAAAAAAAACCCTTGCTTCAGGTGCCTGTGATTAACCTGCAAAGAAAATGGCATCCAAAATTACTAATTTGCTCCTCGAATTGAGTGTATTCTGAGCAAAGTTGCTTCTCAAAGAAAAAATAAGATATTTCTTATGAACACTTGAGGATACAGAAGTGTCATTCAAAAGAGTGACGGATGGTTTTCAGGTCGCATTTTCATTTGCTTACCGTGATCACTGCCTAGCTCATCAGGTTCCTCCAATCTATTTTGCCTGGCTCTGATCCTGTTCCCACATGCCCCCAGTGACACCCCGAACAAATTTCCGAGGTAATTAGTGCACCTCATCCCTTTTCACATCTGCTGGATGAAGAGCTTGTACCCCACTTTAAAGGGCAGCGGGAAAGCAACATCGGCGTACCTGCTGTGCCAGATGCTCTCACTGTGCTGTTTTCTGTTTCAATAAATAGTTACAGCTCAGAGCTCAATCTCTCCCTCCCTCTTCCACTCTCCTCCCATATTTTTTACACTCTGGATTTTCTGCCAGACTTGATTCGATCTGCAGTTCATTTAATCAACATAGGGCAGAATTGCAAAGAAGGAAAATGTTGACAGAATATACAGTACGCTCACTGGCCACGCACTTCATTAGGAAAGCTCCAACGAGATCCAAATCAGCTTTATCAAAACTGACTTCACGCTGAGAACTGCATCTATGATTTTGACGTTCCTATTTAGCAAAAAAATGTAGGCCAAAGATTAGAAAATTCAGTAAAATGCAGTTCAGTTTTCCATAGGTGCAAATTCCAACCTAAGTAAGAATTAATATGTTGCCGAATGAATCCCTCTGTAAAACTGAGTGGCATTCTCTTATCATTATCCTCTGCTTTGTAGTAGATTCAGAGTGTACTAAAACTTTTTGCCTTGTGGGAGGAAGCCGGCGTACCTGGAGACAACCCACACCAGCACAAAGAGAAAATGCAAACTCCACATAGAAGGCCGAAGTTGAACTGTGCAGCTGTGGCTCGCGTTGAAGGTGCGCAATTTTGCTCTTTTGTCAAACAGGTATTTGTTGTTTTATTTATGCGGTTATGTCGTAGGTGTAGTTCGCCGTGCATGACTCCCTTACTGTGTAGCAAAACAAGGTAGTCAAAATATTAGAAACAGCTCTCATATTCCCACCTCCAGGATATTCATGCTTCTCTAACGACGCCAATCAAAAGTGAGCTAATTACCTTTGTTAAGGCAGAATATTTGATAAAGCCTAATTGTGGAGTGGTACCATATGAGCAGGAGGAATGAATCAACTAGAATTGATTTTTTTGAGGTTAAGCACTTTTCATCCACACTTTTTTGTTTGTTCATCCACAAGACACTAAAACCATTTTGTTTCCTGGATGTTTTTTTTTTTTGTGTGTGTGCATTTGCATACCTGTAAGAGTGAATTAATACACTCATTGGCAAATGTTTCAGTGGAAATATTTTACATTGAAATTCTCTGGTTTTGTTTTTATCGTCTGCCTTTTTTGTTTGTCTTTTACACGGCAAGCAGTACATGTTTTGACAATTGCTGAACTTCAAGAATCAGTTTGTGAATAGTGCCCACGGGCCTCTCTGTTTGGATGGTGAAGTGGATTTAGCGGCGAGGATTGTACACAAGCAAATTCAGGAAAGAGGCCATTTTGAAAGGGTTTTTACTCCAGGGAAGGGACTGAGAGCTGTGACTGTGCTGCTGGCTGGATAAAGCATGACAGTATCACAGTCGTTATTTCTTTTCCTCTGAAGAACCCTCACCCAATTTAATGGCAAGGCCATGATTTTTTGATTGGGTCAAAGGGAATGTGAAAATGACATGCATGTAACTCAAAAATAAGTATTACAATAAATTATAGTACTGAATGAACTCCGAAATAATAATGAGGCCAAATTGTGTTATTACACCTCTAAAGTAAGCAAAACAGTCACATGTCCCTTTTGGCCGATTGGTAGCCCAATAATTTCCTGTACAAATTCTCTTACATCAGACGCGATAACTCTGTAATCATGCTTTTGGATCCCAGTGAGGTATAGTGAGATACTGACTGAGTCTAATTCGCTCAGAAATCCCAGAAACACTATTTATCAGAAGAATTTCGCGCACATAAATGTAATCTCACTGGATGCAGGGGTTGCTATTGGGGTAAATGGTTGAAAGGTCCAAGCCAGCAATCACCTGGTGAAGTAATCATCGAGTCATTAGTATTGATCAGAGCCCACCCACGCAAACGCCCCTTTGCAGTCCACTACATAACCAAGCTGCAATTGTCTGATGTGTTTTCGTAAACAAATCATTTCAGAAGCTCATGGGCCCAGGAGTCAGACAAGACACCTTGCTTCCATCTACTGAACACATGCAATGGCCCTTGTAATTTGTCAGTGCTGGTCTTACTTATTCCATGTAATTTTTTATAGCTGGACCTGAACCAGATATCCTTGCTTAAGTCTTTCAATTCACGCAAGGAGTCTGCAAAACCAGTCAAAGGGGCGAGATTGTGTGAGACGGAGCAATCATATTTCTGATGCAATTTAGGTCATTGTCTGTTTTCAGAGCAGCCTCAAATGTTCAAGAAGAAGAAAAGTACGTACAATAAACGTCTCAGCACAGACAAGCAGCACCTCATTAGTGCAGCCAGTCGGAATTGTCTGATAGCTGTCAGCTGAGTAGGTCTCCTGAGAGCATGCTCCTGTACACTGTTAACTCTCGCTCAAGAGGTTAACAAGCAGCCCCAAGTGTCAGCTATAGGCTTCCGCTGGCTACTCATTGCAAAGGTTAGCAAGATGTATATGCTCCATATAGCACTATTTTCCCATTGAATAAAATGTTTATTTTGGATATAAATCAAGACTACTCTGCTGGATGTCACTTTGGTTGTACCTTTTGCAGGACAAAAGCGAATCTTCCCAAGCTGGAAAACTCGAGTGTCTGCCAATGTTCCAAAAGACAGCCGAGAACCACACCAGTGATAAACCATAGTCTCGACCCTCATCAACGCTCCAACCTCCAATATAACATGTCCACCCTTATGTGGGATAAAAATCTCCATCCCCAGCAATTGCATTATTGCCAGAATTGGCTCGCAGATCTTAAGTTTGAACCTTTTTGTTCCTGGGGCCAACACTGAAGGGAGAATGATGTATTGCGAGAGTGTGAGTGCAGGCATTCAAATGTTCAATGCCAAGAAAACCATCCAATCTGCTACACGTCGCACAGCATAATGGGCTGAAAGGCAATCCTTGATTTAAACTGGCACCGTCACCACTACCGGCTACATTTGTAATTACGAGTGCCGATGCATTTGTGTTTCAGAGCAGGCAAGGCAGGAGCATGGTTTCATGTCAACACAAGCAAGCAGCATTTAGGATGTAGATCCACTCACCATGTTGACTTCAGACACCATATCTATGCTGGCCACGTCTATGCTCATCCCGACTGCTACTGGTGCCCCTGGAAGAGGTTAAATAGCTCGTTATTATGCACGTAGGCCGACACCTCCACACCTGACCAAAACACACTCAATTAAGAACAAAAATTAAAGTAAAAAAATCAAGCTGATGGTGCGGTGGGCGAATACCTCCAAAGTCTGGCCTCAGTCGAATATCGTACCCTTTCAGGAGTTTATCCACCGTCTCCTTCACGAATGACATGTTACCGGGCTCGTTGACACTGAAATGACAAAAGATTCTCGCCGTGACTCGTGCGTCACGCAAACCTGACCAGTAACCTTGACTTAGCGACACGGCGTAAAAGCTCACCTTTTGGCGCAACACACTATGGACCCGACCACCAGTACGGACAAGAGGCGTAATTGGCGAGCCTTGCGCAAAGTCAACATGTTTGCAAGCACACACGACAGCAACAGCGGCGGTGGTGGCGAAATACCAGAATCTCCTCGATCAACACTCTTTCAAATCACAGTCAAATCCATTGATTATCCATGAGAAGAGAAAAGTCGGCTGGAGAAAGAGGGGCGCGCGCGCTTTGAGTCAACTGCTCAATTCGAGAATATGAGCCGACATCGTTTCCCCCGTCCAACACTGGTTCTCTGGTCAGACTGTGGAGGAGCATTGAGCATTCAGCATGAGCGCATATTGATGAGGAGGGTGGACGAGAAAGCCGCTGCCGCCGTTGCTGCTGAAGATGCTGGCGGCGGGGAAGGCACTCGCCTCGTTCAAATGAGAGACAGAGCCTAACATTTGAACGCTGCAAGAAATGCCCACCACTAGCACTAACGGGGGCGTTCCTGCTATTTAGCATGTGAGCCACACCAGTTGTTTCCTCATAAAACCTTTTCCGTTTGCCGTTTTTTTTCTCCAGCGGTTACGTCCAAACTAAGTTTTGAAAGAATGCGTTTAATTCTTGATGTTGGGTGAGTGTGTTATTTGGTTGATAAACCTGATGACATCTTCGACTAGTTTGTTTTCTTTAGTGATAAATCTTAACAACTTCACTGACATTCGTTTTATTTTGGCTTCAGCACGTCTTCTGTGGAGAACAGTATTCCCCCCCCCCGCCCCCCCGACACTTTTTACAGCGTTCCTAACACCATCTGCAAAGCCCCCTCCCCTTTATCGCCTCAAAAAATGGTAGGAGTCAAATACAAACCGGGTTTGGGGGTTCTGGCTGCATTAATCAACCTATTTGATCGTTACTTGTGATTGATCGGCAAATGTTTGTTGCCTGGGTTGTTTCATGATGTTGGCTTTAGCCCATACCCTCTATTATTTATGGTGTGAACTGGAGAATTCCGATAGTCAGACCGGGTGGTTTGGGAGAAGTGTAGTGGATGTGGTATATGTTTATGGACCTGCTTACCCGCTTGTGTCATAGATGGCGAACAACTTCTTGTTTCCGTCAACGGCATTCCTGAAAAAGACACGAATTACACACACGAATTAAGGAGGTGTAGTGAAGCTTTTCAATTTATTGTCTGGATCAATTAAACATCTGCTGTATAGCTGAGAAGATGCCCGCGTATCATTTTTTACTCTTTACATTTTTTGTTCTGGACAGCTCTTGTTGTTTTAATCGTTCTCTTCGCGTGTGCGTCTTTAAGTCTAAAACACTGGAACAAGTACAGTGTGCAGGACAAATATAAAAATGCTTTTTCCCTTGCATCCACAAAAAAAAAAGAAAAAGAAAATGCCTCCCTCCCCTGTCCTTTCCTTCTCTCTCCCCCGATCAATGGTCACTCCAGAGGAGCTCTCCACTGCCCACGCGGTGCTGAAGTCAGCCTCCCCAGAGGAAACAGGCGCGTGGTTCTATAGCTCCGTTTCAGTCTTCCTTTATCTTCGAACGTATCTTATAAAGGTGAACGGCAGGAGGATACATTTCAAACACCAAACTGTATTCAACGAATCATGGAACACGGCTACCCTCTTATGGCAACCATCAGGATGAGTTTGCTGGATGGACTTTTTTCTCGGCAGCTCTAACACCATACAGAAAATGCTCACAAAAATTTGGTTGAATTAGTAGAGCAAAATTAAGCCTTCCACCAGTACACCACTAAATGGAATCCACATTCATGAAATCGTTTCCACATAACGTTTAGTAGGCCTTTATATCCTAACATTGGAGTTTTTAATCATTAAATTTATACAAATTAAATGTCATTATTTTCTTCCGTACGTTCAGGTTTTTGTGAGAAGAAAAGAAGCAGAAGAAGCAGAAGAAGTTTTTTAACTTGTTAAAATACTGTATTAGACTATATATGTTATGTTTTAAAGCTAAGTTGCTGAAATAAATAGTTATGCTGTTGGATAAATCATTCAACTGATACTGCCTGTCTGTTTTTGTAGCTACTACAGTAGCTTCTACTTTATATCTTTGGTTGTTGTCATTCTGACTGGCCCATCATCAGAAGATTATTTAACCTGTTTTTAATGTCAAAATAAAACAGTTTAATTTGATTTTGAACGAATACATGCTCTAATTAATTACATTAGGCTAAGTAGAGCATTGCGTTTGAAGGTTTCGAACAAAGTCTTGTGACTATGTGACCCCCTTCTGTCCTTCCTTTGCGTCCTTTCCAACCAATGGGAAGAAGCATTTGTGAGCAAATTATTGACCTCCATTGCAGCACTTTTATTTCATCTCCACCACCAGTCGGCGTCATACCGAACGGCAGCGACTAGCGTGGAGTCACTTCAATGTTCTCGGAGAAGTAGTGCCGGAGTGCAGCTGAGGCAGCACCTCGTGAGCAGACGCCGTGCGCAGCAAGGAGTAAGGAGTGCGACCTCACACGAGAGAGATGTAACATATTACCCCAACCACGTCTGACAAGTACCAAAAGGAAGGAGTGGAGCGGAGAGAGAGGGGGAGCGAGGGTGACAGCGTGCCAACAGACGAAAAGGGGACAAGCGACAAGCCCGGGAATTCGGCGACTGGACCGGTCCAGAAGATCTTCATCCCTCCTCGGGGAGAGGGACTGAACAGCCCAAACAACTGTGAAGGATGGAGCAGCATTCAGGTATTTTTGCTCTCCGTCTCTCTACAATTGGAGCTGCTGTCAAATGGTGGTGAGGATTTTGAGGAGGTCGCGAACGAAGAGAGTGTCGGGGCACGGAGATGCATGGCTTCAAGCAGAGAGAGAGTGGTGACCCTGGAGTGAATTTTGTGCTGGATGTGTTACCGTGCTGCGGTGAAATTATTTCCCCCGTGGGTGCATGATGCCCGCCAAGTGTGGCGAGACGTGAAAGAGTTGCAGCCTCACTGAGAACAGGTTTGATAAGTGATTCCTTTGAGGGGGAAACAGTTTATCAAGTTGGCGAGTCTCCCCTGAGTTTACAAGATGTGTTGGGCAAAATGTTGATTTTTGTGGTGCAGTTTGATGTGTTGTTGTTTGTGCATGTTCCAGCCGCGAAGAAAGTGAGCAGGATGTCAGCCTGCATGGCGTGGCTTCGACTTACTCTCCTTCTGAGTGGATGCCACAATGGGTAAACTAAACTTTAACTTGAATGCATCACGCCCAAATAAGCATCCTTACAGCCACTGGAGCGACTAAGTATAAGATTTCCAAAAGCAATATCGACTGTCAGGAATTTAGGTGTATTCTAAAACTAATTTGATAAAGGAAGCGCTTGGATGTCAGAGGACAATTCGCTGAGCTTTCCTTTCAGCTCTGCCTCCTTCTTACTGATTGATGACACAACACACACTGTTACACCCTGCCTTAAGTGCACAAGGATCCTTGGCCGTGCTGTCAGTAAATCAACAGAATAGTCCAATCTCATCAGTGGCTCATCAAACACCTTCAAGTATGACTCAGGAGCATGCTTTCAATTTTGTACAGGTAACTGTTCTACATTATTTTTCATGTGGTCTCAAATGAGTGTCACCTAAAGGAGCATTCAGTCTTCTGAATTTGAGGAAAGATACTTTTGAAATAGATTTTTGGAAACATTTTTACAAGCTGAAGCTGAAATTGTCCCAACTCGTGGTTACAGGCAATGCATGTGCTTACTAATTCAACACATCTGTTGGCCAGGCAGTGGATCACGTTTAACCACACAACATTTGACACGCCCGCACTTTAACTAACATAAGGTGGTTAACTGACAGGTGTTTGACCACAACTCTGCCCTCGCAGAGGCTGTCAATCCTCCCCGGGGGCTCAAAAGCAGGCGGCCGCCAGCGACAACAGCACAGTGTTCACCAGGATCCTGGATGGGCTCCTTGATGGTTATGACAACAGGCTGCGGCCTGGCCTTGGAGGTTAGAGCAGCCGTCTATCTATCTATCTATCTATCTATCTATCTATCTATCTATCTATCTATCTATCTATCTATCTATCTATCTATCTTTCTATCTATCTATCTATCTATCCATCCATCCATCCATCCATCCATCCATCCATCCATCCATCCATCTGTCCGTCTGTCTGTACATTTCTGCATTCTATACGCCTGTCCCTCCGTCCGTCCATCCGCCTGTCTGTCTGTGTCATTTGAATTCCACTGTATCGCCGAAATTCTCTCTTGGCACTTCTGAGAGCCTGTTGACATTTTCACTTGTCATTTTGGGGAAATGCAAAGCACTGGCGGGTGAATGCTTGCGTCACTCGCTGCAAGCAGAACCTGAGTGTTCTCATCACAATGTTTGCCTTGACAACAGGAGCAAAAGATTTGACACACGTTGCCATTTATAGATTTTTTTTTTTCTATGAGGTGAGAAACTGAAAGCTTTTAATTTTCACTAACCTGAAGCTAACAACACAATGATCTCTTAATGTGCATTGTTATTCTTTGTCCCCGTGTAGTTATTTTATACATCGTGCATATATGAATACATGCACTGTCAAGATGACTCTATATACAGTGAGGCTGATTTATACTGAATGGCAAAAGCTCGCCGTCACATCCTCGTAACAATCGCTCTCCTTGACGAGATAGTACATACAGGTAATACAGAGGCAGAAAACATTCAAGGCCTCAGTCCACCACTGGAAAACAAGTGCCGCTTATTACATGCAAGCAATCTGAGCTTGCGACAAACAAAATGATGTGCATTGAGGAGGAATTTTGATGGTTTTTATACACTTTCCCATATTTTATTATGGCATCATTCTTATGTCATACACCTCACAGGTAAAAAAAAAAAAGTCAACATTTCGTGATCCTGATAAATTCTGTTGCTACAAATGACCATGTTGATACTTAAAAATGAGGCAGTATTTTTGAACTGGAACAGGGGTAGGGAACTCCGGTTCCTCAAGAGCCATTGCTTGCCTGTTTTAGATCTCTCTCTACTTCAACACACCCAATTTAAATGATCAGCTCATCAGCAAGCTCTCTCGAGGCCTGAAACCATATGAACAATTGAATCAGGTGTGTGGGAGTAGGGCGGGATCTAAAACAGGCAGGGCATGGCTCTCGAGGAACCGAAGTTACCTACCCCCAAACTAGAAGGACTCGATTGACACCCAAAGTTTTTTTTGTTTTTTTTTTGTTCTGTGCAAAGGCTTGCTATAATCATAGGCACCTATTCATGAAATTGCTATTCAGCCATGTTTTTATTGAATGGGGCTTGGCTGTAACTGTAACATATTGTGATAAATTGTCTTTCAGTTCAGATTCAGCTATTCAGGATCAGCAGTGGCAAATAAATACATACCTACATACAATAGTTGCGGCTTATTACAAACACTAGGGCAGTGGTTCTTAACCTTATTAGATGCACCCAACCCAACCAGTTCATATGCACATTCATCAAGCCCTTTATTCCTGAAAAATAAAAATTCAAAAAGTGTTCTTTCTGTTTTGCCGGTGCGAGACTAGAGTTGCTCAACTTTTCATGACAAATGATGCAGATAGGATGCTGAGTCCCATCACGTTCCGTGATGCATGTGAATCCATGTGGTACATATTCATTTGACCACTTTGTTTTTTTTGCTCGACATAGTTAGCATGTATTAAAACATTCTAAAAAAATATCACACAACGTACGATCACGACAGTCACACGTTGACTACTGAGCGAACTAAATTTCCCGCAGCACTGATTGGACAAGCAATGTAATGTGATCATCTGCAGCCAGTGATGGCCAAACGAACGTGTCATAACTAATTGACATCTTGAGTCGGATGTGTCTTAACCTCCATGGCAGAGGCTCCGTCGAACCCCTGAGACTGAACCACTGGGGTTCGATTGAACCCAGGTTAAGAACCATTGCACTAGGGTAAATACAATGCTTTTTAAATAATGCTTGACTGTTCAATACAGTAAAATACATCTTCATCCATGGTAATGTGTGTCAAAAGTTGTGAATATACTTTTGTTTTGTCCAAGCCTTCTTTGTGTTGTCTTTATAACACATAGTAACTTGTACTGTATTTGTTTTATTTTAGTGCTGCTGTTTTAATTTGTGTAGTAATTCTTTCCAGTTTTTTTTTTCATGCTCCCTCCTCTTTTTTTTAAAAATTGAATCTAAGCTCTTAGCAAACAGTTGGATTTGCATTGGATAATTTCTTGAATGTATCTTTTTCCTCTTCTACAATAAATAAATAAATAAATAAATGCTTCGATCGTGTTCCAAATTTAGGCCCAGTTGTGAAGCTTTCTCCATGTTCTCTCAACAGAGAACGTCACAGAGATCAAGACAGATATTTTTGTCACAAGCTTTGGCCCAGTGTCTGACACAGAAATGGTGAGTTGTCCTTCATAGAGGTCATCGAGTTGTAGTTAAGTTCTTCCTACTGATTCTGTTCCCATGATGACGCTTTAATATCTTGATGGCCCTCTCCAACTTGTTCCAAATGATTAATTTCCTTAATGAACTCATCTCTTGACCTTAATGAACTAATCTCTTATGAACCTTCAAGTGTTGAAGCAAAATTAAAAAAAAAACAAAGAAGTGCCTTCTGTCATGACATTTTTAGAAGGTGTTCAATTACCAATGAACGAGAGTGTAATATTGACAGAGGTGTGGATGCATCATGGGTATTCATCACAATCTAGTCTAACGCAGCGTATGGCGCCAGTTGTCAGGAAACGGTCTGGACCATTTTCCAAAACCAAAAATACACAGATACAAGCAGTAAAAACTAGCTTGTTTCGTCTTTGTGTCCCAGAGTTTGTGATAAATTAGAGTGTGGTTTGTGCCTTTGATGGGTGTCTCACATGAAGTGTGTGAAATGTAAGGTTAGTTTGCTTGATGAAATATATGACCTTTTAAATCTTTGGAGGAAATAAGGGTCAGAGTCCATATTTCACAGGCTAATATTCCTCACGGGTTCCCACTCCTCAGTTTGAGCTCTTCCAATGTCAGTCAGAGTGGATTTTAGAAAGCTGAGCGGAAGAACAGTCTCTAATGTTGTTGGTCATATTTTTCTCATTCTCTTTGGTGTTTCCTCCCAGGAATACACCATTGATGTGTTCTTCCGTCAGACTTGGAAGGACGAGCGCCTGTGCTTCAAAGGGCCGATGGAGAAGTTGTCCTTGAACAACCTGCTTGCCAGCAATATTTGGACACCAGACACATTCTTCCTCAATGGCAAGAAGTCCATTGCTCACAACATGACCACACCAAACAAGCTGCTGAGGCTCACTGATGATGGCACTCTGCTTTACACTATGAGGTGGGTCTTAATTCACATAATTTATCAATATTGATAGATTCAAAAATAATATCCCTAGCAAAGAGTAGTTCTTGAAAAGAAGAGGTCAACTGAAAACAGTTTTGGAGTTAGAAGACATTCTTTGAATGAAACAACAGCGTCATCCAGTGGTTGTTTTTGGACCTGCCGTCAACAATCTCGTTTACAGTAAAAGCAAAGGGAATGGCGCAATATAAATGCACTTACTCCGGCGCATATTCGTTGGAATTACTAATATTCAATATTTTTTTTTCCTTTGAATTTTCAGATGCCCATCTCATTGTTAAAATATTTTAGACATGATTCCTGTAAATGTTGGAGTTGTGGTTAGCAAAGAGTCAGAAAAGTATGGCCTGTGAATGTTATGTGATAGTTTCTAGATTGTGATTCTACATCTGCTCTTCTATTATGGGATCTCAGTGCTGCTTTTGACACTGTTGATCACCACATTCTATTGGACAGGCTCAAGAACTATTTTGGTATGTCAGGACTGGTGCTGAATTGGTTGGGTTCTTATTTGCCCGAGAGATCTCAATACATGTTATTGATTGATTTATTTATTTGTATTTAACAATGTATTTTCTTTTTCGTGACCAGTTGAATGTGAGGTACCACAAGGCTCTCTCCTTGGCCCACTGTTTTTTTTTTCATTTTATCTGGAACCGTTGGGTCAAATGATGCGCTCATTTAGGTTTGTATTTCATTGTTCCGCTGATGACTTGCAATTATATGCCAGTTACCACAGCAAATTGGTCTGCTGTTGACACACTCACATCTTGTTTTAGCTGCCGTAAGGTCCTGATTATCATTAGTAAGGACTGAAACTATTATAATTGGACCGTTAGAACATCTTAACCATCCTTGACCCTGCCTCTTGTGACTGTACAATTGCTTGCAAGGATAAGGTGAAAAAAAAAAAACCTTGTGGTTTTATTTGATCAAAACCCCTTTTGATCAAACTCTCTCATTCGAGGCCCATATAAAAGAGGCAACATCTGGGTTTTTTACCACGTTAGTAAAATGAGATCACACCAATCCTCACAATGTAAGGTTTTTTAGACAAAGGTTTTGTCATTTCTAGATTAGATTGTTGCAGTGCTCTATTATTTGATTGAACTAAAAAAAGTCTCAAAGATCTTTTGTCCAAAATGCGGCAGCTCGACTCATTGAGATATGATCATACTACCCCATTACAGTATTAGCCTCCCTACGTTGTCTTCCTGTTCACATTTGAGCAGATTGCTGCTATTAACCTACACGGTTTTTAGAGGTTTAGCAGCAGTGTACTTAAACAAAATTGTTGACATTTACTTTGTACCTTCCCATCTCTGTGATCAGAAGGGAGCAGCCATTTTACTGTTTTGAAAGTTAGGAAACTATTAAAACGCGTGTGCCCCAATGCTATGGAATGCTCTCCCCCTCAAAACCAGGCAAGACTGCGCAGTTGAGACTTGAAAAACCAAACTCAAGACCCATCTTTTTACTCTTACATTTATCTGATAGCTTGTGTTCTGTTTTAAGGATGTCGTTTTATTTGTCTTGTTTCTCTGTTTTTATTTTTCTTTGTTGTTTTTACTCTTTATTTCGAATGAAATGTTTTTGTTGTGTTGTATTTTTTTTACTCGTTTTTGGTGATCTGTACAGCGCTCTGATGAAAAGCTCATTATAAATACCTTTATTCTCATTCTTATTATTCTTATTGTTGTTGTTGTTATGTATTTATTTATTTGCAATTTCAAAAAGCTTTCAACCATTACTGCAATCAGAAAATCAAGGACACATGAAAAAGATAAATGAAGTAAGACATTCCTTGTACTTTTTGCACTCCTTGAGTTGTTTTGAACAGACACAGTAATGCAATTGGTTAATCTTGCACTGGTGTGGAATGCAATTGCCTCATATCATTTTCGTTCATTTGAGTCATATAATTGGGAGGCCTTCTGCTGCGTCTGTGCGCAAGATGTGTCGTAACATTGAAAGCAACATGTCCCATGTGGATTTCAGCACAACTTCGATAAACAGTTATTAGATTAGTGTAAAGCTCCTGGGAAAAATAAGGTTCCTTAGAATGAGGTTAAGGTATTGCTTTGTGCTCCACTGAATAAGTAAAGTTCACTGACCTTAATTAAACCATTGTATCACTGAAATTCTGTATATTATCATGTAAAGCACAGGATTATATAAGATAAGATAAGAAACCCTTTATTATTCTCGCAATGGAGAAATTCCCAATTTACAGCAGCAAAGTCATGAAAGGAAGAAGTAGAAGAACAAAATGTAGGAGCTGCTGGAAAGGCAGCCACTCTCGCGGCGCCATCTTGAAGTCAAAATAACAAAATAACACAACACAACACATAAGACACAGACAGTCATGCAATCTTAATCACTTTTCCTGCATACACTTTGTTGTTTGAAGCAGTTATAGATGAAAGAGGAGAGGATCAAAGTGTCCTTTCACCCTTTATCCCAGGGAATTTTACTGTATATCCTGTTAAACTCCTTCTTCTGAACACCTTACTAACTTATATGAATTAATTACAGCCTATGTTCATACTGCAAAAAAAGAATCATGAGGAATCTAAAACTCAAAATTGTAAGCATCTTCTGCTCTAGTGGAAAAATTGCCCTTGTGCAGTTGATCTATTACTAGCTATTTATTTGCTTTTGTGAAGCATAGAGAGAGAGAGAGAGAGAGAGAGAGAGAGAGAGAGAGAGAGAGAGAGAGAGAGAGAGAGAGTGGTAATATAGATAGAGATAAGAGATAGAGAGAGAGAGAGAGAGAGAGAGAGAGAGAGAGAGAAACAGAGAGAGAAACAGAGACAGAGTGACCACCAGGTGGCGGGGCTGTCATCTCAAGTACAACATGGAAATGAAGAAAATTGAAGCACCATTATTGCCACCATCAGGCGTGCTTCTACATTTTTTTTTTGCCTGTTGTGAAAAGAGTCACTGTTTCTTGTTTCCATTTCACCTCAGACTGACAATATCAGCCGAATGTCCCATGCAACTGGAGGATTTCCCCATGGACGCCCACGCCTGTCCTCTCAAGTTTGGCAGCTGTGAGTAAATAATGTTTGGTTCACTCTCACATCAGTAAAGTCACACGAAGAATATGCGCAAATTGTCTAACTTTAGCTGCAGGTAGAATTCAGACGTCGATGTCAAACTTGACGAACTTCATTTATCGACGTCCATCTTGACAGTTTTGTTTGTCAATTCCTATTGGCAATGAAAAGCTGGTCACTAAATACTGGCACAACGGCTATACATTTTTAGCCAGCATTTAATTTAATGTTATTGGTTTGTACGTGCTGTAATCATAAAATAACATAAAAAAATTTAAACCTTTGAATACTGTTCGAAATGGGTGTACGGTTAGGAGTGACGAGACAAAACAGAGCGAATTGTGTCAGAAATGCAATGTTAAAAAAGTAGTCATTGACTTTGTTACTTATGAGCGTCATCTGTAGAGTAGTGATTTATTCAAGACAACTAATTACATTGTGCTCAAATGAGCAAAAACAGACTAAAGTGTTTTCTCCCACAATCTTTGACTGGGATAAAATGTAAAAGTTTCGGAAAAGGTTGGTTTGAAGTGAGGAAACACTACCAGTGAGAATTATGATTTGTGTGTCTTGTAGTTCATTGAACTGTATTTGATCAGTCATTTGAGCTTCGTGGGGAGTCGTACATAAGTAGTGTTGGCAAGTCAGTGAAGAAGTACGGATTACTGAATATTAACCACCCAAATTAGGCCACCCTTCAGTAGGGATTGCCCATAATAATTTGGCCTGTGTGCTTGTCCGACTGACGAGGGCGTGTTTAACACTGCAGTGACCCCTGGAGGGTTAATAAAAACAGATCTGGCCAAATGCCACACCTTCCGAGCTTCTTGAGCTAAAAAGATGAAGTGCTTATCTCCAGATTTCTCTGAGACACCGTCCAGCCACTGTCACTGCGTATGTGAAGTACATTTGACTACAATCCAATTACAGTGTAAGGGGCCACTTGGGATTCCTAGGGCAACCTCGTACCTAATCACCTTAGTGCAATGCCCTGCAGGTGAGAGGTGTGTGCACTTCAGCAATAATCTGCTGTATGATATTTTAGCAGCCATTATGCACAAAACATGCTTTTGATGAGGTTTTCTGACCAACGTTTAAAGGTTCCACTATGTTTTTGTTTTGTTGTTTTTAATTTCATTTTTTTCCTGTAAGCTTTGATTGGGACGGCTATATAATTTGGAAATAATCAGGATGTGCTACATAATTTGACATGGAAAAGAGCTTTACTCTGATTGGTTAGGTCCCAATATGTGGGCAACTTGTGGCCACGATTTATCTTCGTTGTGTTGGCACAGCAGAAATTCATCAGGCCATCGGCAGAATTGTTGTTGGCCGCAGTGCGCTCTGAGGTGGCCACGGCAAGGCAATTTTTTCACCTCCGTGGTGAGCCCCGGTGACCTGGTGGCCATGCCATGATCACTCTGGCGGACTGAGCAGCACGAATAAGGCCTTTTTTTTTTTAATATCGGTACACCTACATGGTGACGCGCTGCGACCTGATGGCCGTTCAGCACGCGCTCTTGCCGAATTCAAATCTGTTCGTTTCTGCACGCCTTTGCCTTTCAAAGGCTATTGTATGAAAATGACGAACCGCGCAGATGTCAACGTTAAACCATGTCACAGACTAATGTTGTGCATAAAAACAGTGGGAACATTTGGGATTTTGATTGCATGGGAGCTCATCGCCCGTTTTAACGTTCGTTCATATTCATCACAATGCACTTGACAGTGTGCAAAGAGAACGTTGGAGTAAACAGTTGACAGCACTAAGCATTGGTGTCTCTCAATCTTTCATTTTCTGCTGTTATGAAAAATGGCTCAAATCGAACTCCAGTCTGTCTCTCCACGCCTCATCTGTCTGTGATTTGATAATTCAACTCCTGACTCCCAAGGCACAGAGCATGGCTTTATTTTGCAGCCACAGCAATTAGCCTCATGTAACCTACCAAAAAACCGTTTCAAGATCATTTTATTTGTTGATGAATTTTTTGCATGTAAGACAAGCATACAATTAGCACCGCCATTAATTTTGCTTTTAACATAAGATTCAAAATGAATATATCATTTACTGGACCTTAATTTTATCTGCAAGGGTTTCCTTAATCTGGGGATGTTTAAACATCACAGTAATTTATGAGCAAAAAAAGAACAAATGTTCCCCACTATTGCATATGTTTATCCAATGGTTGTGCAAATTAAAGCAAGCAAAGAGCCGCTCTAATTTTGGCCAAGGTAAATTCCATTAATCTCTGACTCTCTCCTGCACAACCTAAATCCTAATTTAGCTGCGAGCCTTTCAACAGTCAGTTCATGCATGGATAAATCACTAAAATTCATACAGTGTCTTGTTCAGCATGCCCATTTTTTTTTTTTGCTTTGCTGAATGCATATCGGAGGGGGTACTCCGACTTTGGATTCATGCAAAGAGACACTTTGAGCAAATCAAAATTTTGCGTCGTCAAATGTGTTCTGGGACCAAAGCTGTGTTCAAATATTTGTTGTCTGGGAAACAACATCGTGAGACTGAACAGAGGAGATGACAAAATATGTATCCTTGATATTTCCGACACACAAAGACGGTTTAGGAAGTGAGAAGTCTGGCAACCTTTTTGGCACACATTGTTCAGCACTTGGTGTAAATTGTGAGAAAGTTGGCACACGTATGACATCGTGCCTGCCAAAGTCATTAGCTCTTCTTGAGAGCCACGCAAATCAGTGGAAATCCGTTACTCCAATCTAACTCTCATCCAAGTAAAGCCACAGCCACACAAGCCTCCAGCAGGCAGGTGAGCATTAACACAATAAATGTATGTATTTATTACAAACGGCCTTCCTCATAAAGATGCTGGGTTTGTTCATTTGTTCATCTGCAGAGTGTACAAGCTGTCATCATCTGGGAAAGTGTTTATTTGGATAATTCTCCATCCATCCGTCCAACAAAACGAAATATTCGTTCGTCTTCGGGCAGTAGGCGGGGGACACCCTGAACTGGTTGCCAGCCAATCGCAGGGCCTACAGAGACCAACAAATCATCCGCGCTCACACTCACTCCTAGGGACAATTTAGAGTGTGCAATCAGCCTACCATGCATGTTTTTGGAATGTGGGAGGAAACCAGAGAACCCGGAGAGAACCCACGCAGGCCCAGGGAAAACATACAAACTCCACACAGGGAGGCCAGAGCTGGGATCAAACCCACGACCTCTGCACTGTGAGGTTGACATACTATCCACGAGACCACCGGGCCACCCAAAATGAAATAGTTCAGTCATAATAAAATACAGGAGGACACCTGGTTCCGAACACCTGAGTATTCTCTTCAGGCATTCACCAAATAACATTCAGAGTATTATCATGAATCGTGATGTACAGAAGTTAGGCTTACAATCACAGCAATGTTTTTTTTTTCTTGATGGACTTTGCTTTCAATTCATTGTTGATGGTTTTGCAGGCATGATGCAGATGAATCTTTGAGCAGCACTCTGAGATTCACCTTATGAGAGCAAACTTATAACTTCATTCTTATCCGTGAAATGTGCATTTCGAGCTTGTTCTTATTTACTTATTGGGGCAACCGCACGCCACACACTGAGGCATTTTTGCCAAAGATACAAAATAATAATGTGAAAAAGCCATCGAGAAAACAATGTATTCAAGTTAGGCAAGTTTAGACAGTGGCGCCGCAAGATGACCACCATTGGCTCCATTACTCGCTACAGTGAGAAAGGCGACATCAGCGGTCCAGGTTATAATATACATCTGTGCTCACACGTCCATATCATACTATACAAACATCAGTAGAGGAAGGAAAGATATTCATGCTTTTAAGATGGAACTACATTCAGTGACTATGTTTAGATGCAGTCAATATTCAGGTCAAAATTTCTATTTCGGAAACATTCGGAATAATCCATTTACATGTGCGTGTGCCGATCCCGCATTTGAGTAACCCGATGTAAATGGCAACGCATGGACGTTGTGACGCTAATAGACGTAATTTCCACTGAATGCTTTCGACCGTCAATAAAACTCATTGTGTTTAAGTCACGGACCACAGGAATGAAGCAGTGTTTCTTCTCGCTCCAAAAGTGTGCTGCTGGCCTGTGTCTCTGAGATGAGCCATCATTGTTTACCTCTGCTTGTGTATTTCCGGCGAGTTGCGCGCCCAACATACAGATTACATATACAAACGTAAATATGTTTCTGGATACACGCTGTGTACTTCTTGCACTACAAAGACCAAGATTCCTTGCATAAAGAGCAAGCGCATGCGCGGAACACAACCCGATGCCCATTTCAATGGAGGTAATCCAATCGCGTTTATATGACCAAATATTCGGGTTGGAAAAGTGGTACAAAGAACATATTTGGGTTTTTGCGCGCATTTACATGGCCTTGGGGACCCGGGGTAGAATAGGTCCCTAGCACCCCCCTTGCTGTTCGTAAGAGGCGACAAATGGGGCGAGTCGTTTGCCGCGAGTTGCGACCCGTGGGGTGGGAGGAGCTCCTTAGCCTTGGTCGGCAATCTTCCTTCGGGAGTAAACCCAGAGGCCAAATCCGGAGTTGAAGTCCCTAAGGCGGTGCGTTGTGAAACTCTCTCAGGGTCCCGGCAACTCCTGCGAGGACGTCGATGCCAAACTGCTTGGCCCCTGCCCTTCCCTTGGACAACATCAACGGCGTGGAGAGGGGGGGATCTAGCGCATGGGCAACGTCAGGTCCTCCATACACACCTGCCCAGGCTTGTGCCCTGGAGAGGACACTCCAGCGTCATTGTGTGACGACACAACACGAGGAGTGGCAGATACCAGTGATAAGTCAGTGCTCAATTGGTGTAGAGCTAGGCGCTAGGGGTCACTCCTGACAGTGGGAGGGGGCCTCATACCCCCACTGGGTAGCTACTGCCCGCTTCAAGCCACGTCATTATGTGACGACACAACACGAGGAGTGGCAGATACCAGTGATAAGTCAGTGCTCAATTGGCGTAGAGCTAGACGC